GCTGCTTTCAGGTGATGCATTCTCTTTCAAGGATACCATGGTGTTGGAAACCAGGACAGGATGCCTTAGTCATTGGAAAGGCACCCCTCCTGTTACAATGAAGTTGATGTTCTCTTTGTGGTTTCCTTGGTGAGACTGGTACACACAGCGGCAGCCCTGAGTCTGACGGACTCTGGGGGTCCTGATGAAATCACTCCCAAGCCTGTGACAAAGAAGGTGAGTCGCCAGATCCCACTATATGAAAGGTCTTCAGAAAGCTGTCAGGAATTTGTAATATGAAAAAAAACTATGCATAGATTTGAATTTTTGCACTAAAATAAACTTATCTTTTAATTCCACGTTTCCACAAACCTTGTGCTCGCCAGCCTTTCATCCTTAATGGCTGTATAGCTGAATGATAGCAGCATGGGCCTGGAGCCAAGTGACTGAGTTTGCACTGTGGTTCTGACTCCCAACTAACACTGTCACCAAGCATTTATAATAAGCCTTGATTTCCTCACATATAAAACAAAACTAAAATGCATATTTCATAGGACTGTTATGATGATCCAATAAAATACTGCATATAGAATGGGCATTTGGCCTACTGGTTAAGGTGCCTGAGTCTCACACCCAAGTACCCAGATTCCATAGCCAGCTTTGGCTCCTGCCCTCTGCTTCATACCAGTGCAGACCTTGGGAGGGATGGGTGATGACTCAAATGGTTGGGATCCTGACACCCACATAGGAGACTTATATTGAGTTCCTGTCTTCTGGTTTCAGACTGATCTACTATCAATGAGGTAGCAGTTTTTCAACATGTAGTCTAGTAAAAACTAGATATCCACATGTGAAGGAATGAATTTTGACCCTCATCTCACACCATATACAAAATTTAACTCAAAATGTATCATAGATCTATACATAAATTAAAACTCTAAAAATCTTTGGAGAAAACATAGGGGGAAATACATCATGGTACTGTATTTGCTATGATTTCTACAAATCTGTAGCTTAGTGTAGGGCATTATTATAAGTACAAAAACTATGAAACAGATGCATATGTCTTCAAATACTGTGTCACATATACTATTTTATAGTTTTGTTGTTTTAGCCTTGTTGCACACCAACTCCCAAAATTTAGGTTATTCCTGTTCACAAAGAAAAAAAAATCTTGTGCTTTTTTTCAGTTGTATTCAGTTGTTATTAATTACTATTAGCATCTGCTCTTATAAAAAGCAATGATTATAGTAACTCAGTAGACTTGTTGAATATGCAAACTTACTGTCAAGTGACCTCACGAAAAATGAAAAGATAGAAAACATTGGTAGTTCTTATCCTGTTTTGTAGGAAATCAGTAAATAAGCCATTGTGGCAATAATTCTTCAGTTAAATTTCAAAGCTTCATGTTATTAAAAAAAACAAAGAAAATCCTGCTGTTATCCATGTTGATGGTGACTTTGTGCTGAAATTTCAGCTATTACAGATAAACATTGTATATGTTGTAAATTAATGTTTAAAGATAGTTTTGTTCTCATAGAAAATGTTGATTGCCAGATTGCTTATAGCACTTTAAATGATTCTAAAAATGATATTATAAGCCAAATTGTTGGCTTAAATAGTTTTAGTTGTATAGCATTTGAATATATTTAGTTCTTTGGAGAATTTAGCTATAATTATCTAAAGAAAACATAACATTAATGCAAAAGAACATCTGATGTTCTTCACTTTGATATAATATATCAATATCAAAATATATATTCTGTTATAAAATATTATTGCTGAATACAAATAGAAATACAGGGAATCATTTTCTTGTTTATGTAAAACTCATAATATTATGTTAGTAACAATATATAGATTAAATGTCTACAACATAGGGAATTGTAAATAAATGTATCAGTTTGCCCCCTCCTCTTTGGTCTTCCACAGCAGTATTATTGTCTTTGTGGAGATGACTAATCATTAAACAAAAATCCTGTAATGGATTTCAGATATAATAAGGTCATAGTGCTATATATCAAATAAAATTAAATATACAAATAAAAAACATAAAAGGAAGGGAATTTCATCACGTACTAAAACACGGGTGAATTTTGAGGAGACTATGCTAAGTGAAGCAAGCTAGTCACAGAAAGACAGATACTGTATGATTCCACTTGTATGAAGTACTCAGAACCGTCAAATTCAGAGACAAGTAGAATGGTGGTCGCTGGGGCTGGGGGAATGAGGGTCACTGTTTACTGGGTGCAGAGTTGATGGGAGTGATGGTTGCACAACAATGTAAAGGTACTTACTACCACCCCACTGTAGGCTTAATAATGATAAAGATGGTGAATTTTACATGTGCATATTATGCCAGAGTTGAAAAAAAAATAAAGGCGGATGACTAGGAAAAGTGGTACTGGTATCCAGTAGATGGTGAGGCCTGGCAGTGGGAATGGCAAGTTGCCAATGAATACACACTATAGGAACTGTAGAGGAAGATTCAACAGGGTGTAGTGGCAAAGTGAAATAAAGCGAGAAATTCAAAGGAACTCTGAGCTTTCTCCTGTGGGTGGCTGGATATTTGTTGATTCTGTTGACCAAAGTGTGGAATACAAGGAAGGAGAAATTCTCAAAGTAGGGAGATTATTAACTCAATTCGAGTTAGGTTGAGTTTGCATGTCCTGGTAGAGGTCTGAAAATAGTTTGAGGTCAGAAGGATATGTAGTGTGTATTGATAGCAGACTCATCAGGGATAAGCAAGCCTCAAGTTTCCAGCTGCTCCACATCACTGAGTATACAAACAAGGGTTTTAATGCACTTTCTTTTTCTTTTTTTCTTTTTTTTCTTTTTTGACAGGCAGAGTGGATAGTGAGAGAGACAGAGAGAGAGAGGTCTTCCTTTTCCATTGGTTCACCCCCCAATGGCCGCTGCGGCTGGCGCATCGCGCTGATCCGAAGCCAGGAGCCAGGTGCTTCTCCTGGTCTCCCATGGGGTGCAGGGCCCAAGGACTTGGGCCATCCTCCACTGCACTCCCTGGCCACAGCAGAGAGCTGGCCTGGAAGAGGGGCAACCGGGACAGAATCCGGCGCCCTGACCGGGACTAGAACCCGGTGTGCCAGCACTGCAAGGCGGAGGATTAGCCTAGTGAGCCGCAGCGCCGGCCCTAATGCACTTTCAATGTGCCAAATAGCCTCAAATGAATGGTACATGTGATCATAATGAAATCGCATAAGCTACATTTTTTTTTAAATGCCATTACTTTTTAGCACAGCAACATGGAGCTACAATAATCTGGGGGCTGGTGTTGTGGTGCTGTAGGTTAAACTGCCACTTGTGACACTGGACTGTATCAGAGTATTGGTTTGAGTCCTGGCTGCTTTGCTTAGCATTCTAGCTCCCTACGAATGCACCTGGGAAGGCAGCTGAAGATAGCTCAAATATTTGGGCCCTGCCATCGTTGTGGCCAGCAGATGGAAGACCTCTCTCTCTGTCTCTACCTCTCTCTGTTACGCTTTCAAATAAATAAAATAAATCCTTAAAAAATTTTAAAAATGCAAAGCCATACTTATAGAGTTTACATAGGACTTTTTAAATAAAGACTATTTCATTTCTAAATTCTGTTAATACAGTAAATTTTCTAATAGTTCTATTACTATGGTGTTTTTCAAAAGTTAAACTAAATTTGCATTCTTGTGAAAACTCCACTTGGTCACAATGTATTTTCTTTTTGTATATTGACTTTTTCATCACCAGGGCTTCTGTTTATTTCTTTTTGATTTTCCTCATTCTCTCCTCATTGTCTTCAGATTTTCTTTTAAATACTTCAATGTACTTATAATGTCAAAGATCTTTTTCTCCAAATTCCATCATCTCTGCCGTTGGTGGTTTTGTTTCACTTGCCTCATTTTGATTCTGGTTTTGGATTATTCATTTCAAGTCCAGGTCCAGTAATGTTTAACTGAAGGATAGTCATACTGAATTTCACATTGCTGAGTGCTGAATTTTACCATCTTCCCTAAAGAGCACTGGACTTTTTCTAGTGGAAGTTCCTTGGTGACCATCTGGATCCTTCTGAGGCTTGTTTGCTCTTTGCTAGGGGTGGGATATAGTGGCCTTCTCTCCGGGGCTACTTCAGTCTTACTTCTAAGGTGTAATTCCTGGGAGTTCAATGAAGATCATCTACTTCAGTTGGTTAAACTCAATGTCTCCAGGTCCTTCGTGAGCTCTGCCTGGCCTCGGAGAGTTTTCAGTCTATGCATATGCAGGTTAGTGGTCCTCAAGTGCCTCCAGGCAGATAGTTCGAGAACATTCTCTGTGTTGCTTCCTCTCTTTCTGATATTACACCTCAGAAATGCTAGCCACTGCAATCTTCCATGTAATTCCTGTATTCTGCAGAAGACTCTATCACTAAAATCCAGAAAGTGCCTTTAGGTCGAAGCCTGGGTAAAAATAAGGCAAGCTTAATTTATTACTCTTATTTCAGGAATTAATGTGTGCACATTTTTGTTCTGTTGTCTGTTTACTTACAGCAGTAGGCGAATGTTGGTCCCAGTTCCTTTCTTAGGTAGAGAAGTAAAGTTAGCTTTCATTCTTCTTTTTAGATTTCTCCTTTCAAAGCAACTTAACTATTTCCAAATAAACTAGAATGTACACACCTTTCAAAAATAATCAAATTGACTATTTTCTGAAGTATCACCAAATGCTCAGTTCACTTTTGGAATATTTTGATGGAATCATGCATTCACAGGATATTTGAAGTCATCAAGAAAAATCAGTCTCATCATGTTCTGAGGAATACTATTTTTAAAGGCCAAGGAGAGACGTTTGGGTCCTGACTAAACTTTAAGTTGAGTGGCAATGACTAATAGTGGTATTGGTGTTAGTTTCTTCATCTGTAAAATGGGTTGTGTAGCCTGATCTACCTGAATGGCATCCTCTGGTGCAACACAGAGCCTGTCCAATTGGCTACAAAGCAGCAGTTCAGGCTTTATCAAGATGCTGTGACCTGAAGCAAAAGTTACCATCACAATGGCTTACATAATAAAACAAATTTATTATCTCACCTAGAGAAATACTCAGAGACAGTGTGACTCCAGGGTTAATTCGTCTGGTGGCTCCTGTTATCAAGAGCCCAAGTTCTTTCTCCCTCCTCACCCATCCCCACCCTCAGCGTTGTCATGACGGCTGCAGTTGCTCCAAGCCTCATGGCCTCCCACAAGCATTCCCCAAGGCGAGAGTCTGTCCCCGCTGCACACACGCACTCTCCCGGACAAGTCTCCAGAAGTCTCCCAGCAGCTGTTCCCTCTTGTGTCACTGCCCAGAAGGGTATCGTGTGTCGTCTTTAAGCCATCACTTGCAAGAGGAATGGAACTGCCGTGGCTGGCTCACTAGTCAAGATTTAGATCCTGAAGCACCTAAAAAGCATGGAAGGAAGGAAGGGAGAGAAGACAGATACTAAACTGGCAACTAAAGTGTCTTCCACATGGAGAATGTCTCTATCTTAAAAAACTACTTTACACAGTACATGTGAAAGTAACCCACATCTAAATTATCTATCAGTTTTTAACCCATAAATGGCATTAAGCAGTATATTCACCAATTATATCTTCCAGGGAGAGAGAAATTACCAAGAGATATTAACTTTGCTAGTGCCTTTCCACAGGGTTAAATGCCAAGATGCAAAATTCTCTGTCCATAAAGGTCTAGCTGAAATCCAAATTAGTTTTCCTTATCTGAGTAATACCTAAGAACTTTCAATATTTTTTAAGCTGCATATACCTGAGTTTTTTTCCTTAGCAATATCAGCTTACCCAACTAACCAGAGCAAGCGCTAATGTTTCCTCTCCTGAATATCACTGGCTGAAAAAAAATTATGTCAGTTCTACAGTCCCTGGAAAGCAGACAGGAACAGAAGACTGTATGAGACAAAAGCTACAAAAATGCACATCAAAATGGAAGCTGCTCATAGGTGTAGAAAAATCGCTTGACACTTTTCAAATCTCAACATTCATAATATGTTATTATTGAAAGGTCATCCGGATAGTCAACGTTGGCTGGGGAAGGGGAAAGGATCCCCCACTGCCGTCACTGCTGGTAGGAGCGTGGCCTGGGCCCTGTCTGGGGAATAGCATGGAACAATACAGGAAGTGAAGTGTGCACACATCCAACAACTCAGGGACACGCCCCTGTGTTTAGATCCTCGGAACTTACTTACCTGTGCATGGCTGCGTAGCAGATAACTCAGAATTAAGTGGTTTACAACAATAAACATTTATTATCTTGTGGTTTCTGTGGGCCAAGGACTCAGGAGGGGCTTAGCTGGTTAGTTCTGGCTTGGCATCCCTAATGGAATTGCAGTCAAGATGATGGGGGGGGGGGGGCTTAAATCACTTCAATGTTTAATTTGGGCTGAAGGATCCATTTCCAGGGTGCCTCCGGCACTTGGCTGGTGAGTTTGCGTTAGCTACTGGCTGCTCCTTGGGGCTGCGAACATGTCCTACAGCCTAATGGTTGGCTTTACTCAGGGCAAGTGACCCAAGAGAACAAGGCAGAAGCCAGTAGTGTATCTCATGGCTTAGTGTGGGACATCACATGCCATTGTCCTGCCATTGTATGTTGGTTGCACAATCTAACTCCGATACAGCGTGGGAAGGGATTACACGAGAGCCTGAACACCGGAAGGCAAGGGTCTCTTGGGACCCCCTTGGAAACTGGTTTTCATAGGAGGTCCACATCTTCACTAGAGAGTTATTTGCAGTGACAAGCAGTTGCAGACAACTTAGGTTTTCATTCCCAGAGAAATTTGTAAGTAAAATGTGGTGTATGCCTGTGACGGAGTGCCTTGCAACACTCAAAAGTAATGAGCCTAGATTTATGCATTTTTCCCAATCAGATGAAACAGAATAAAGCAGTTAGATTCATAGCAAAATGCAACTGACAGAAGTTTAAAAACCACTGTGCATTTATGTTTTTCTCACTAGAAATTTTTTTAAAACAAATATACTGGGGCTGGTGCTGTGGCACAGCAGGTAAAGCTGCCGCCTGCAGTGCCGGCATCCCATATGTGCGCCAGTTTGAGTCCCGGCTGCTCCACTTCCGATCTAGCTCTCTGCTATGGCCTGGGAAAGCAGTGGAAGATGGCCCAAGTCCTTGGGCCCCTGCACCCGCATGGGACCTGAAAGAAGCTCCTGGTTCCTGGCTTCAAATCGGCGCAGCTCTTGCTGTTGCGGCCATCTGGGGAGTGAACCAACGGATGGAAGACTTCTCTCTCTCTTTCTCTCTCTCTCTTTCTGTGTAACTCTGACTTTCAAATAAATAAATAAATAAATCTTTTAAAAAAAGAGCAAACATACTGCTAAATAAATACATAAAAGTTCAATGGGAAAATATTAAAACTGGTTATTTATATATTTCTTATTAGTCATATCTTTGTGGAAGAGAATTTCAGTTATTTTCAAATACCTCCTTTATTATCTTGTTGGAATGAAATTCTTTTAACAAAACACAAACTTCTATCATTTCTCAATTGGAGACATTTAAAATGTAAACAACTTTGAGCAAGGTAGCCCACAAACAAAATTTACAATAAAGAGGAAATGACTGGTATCAGATCCCCCTGTGTTTAATGAGAAAAGACAAAAGGAACAGCATTTGGGGTTTCCCAAAGGATATGGTGGTGGCCCCAGGGGGCGGATTAAGAGAAGAAGCACAAAGAGATGCCATAAGGAAGGTACCAAAGACAGACCAGATCTTCCAGAATTTTGATTAAAATGAGTGCGTATAACAAATTGTACTTTTGTTTGGAACAAGAAAAAAGTCATCTGAAATTTTTTGTAATTCACTTCTTGTGAATTCCAGGTATATAGATAGATAGATAGATAGATAGATAGATATAGAGACACATTTCACCTATTTTTCAGTGTGGTTAACAGATCAATATATACATATTTTTCATATCTATATTTACTCATATGTACATATATATAGATTACAGAGCACTTAGGGCTAAAATGGGTAAGGTTCAGAGTAAAGCCTAATTTATGAAAGTTTTCTGTATCTATTTACAATTATGTGATAGCAGAGCATTAGGATAAGTTTTTTTTTAATATTTGGGGCTAACAATGAGAACAGTTTTATGGAGAAGCCCAACCGAGGGCTCTGCGAATGTGCGAGTCGTTTATGTAACGAGTTAATCACACATGTATCTGACAATTGTCACCTGGTGTAACTGCTGCCCTGCTGTGGGACAGCTACCTCTGTTGAGTCGAGCAATGAAGACAGCCGTCCAAAGCAGCAGACTTAAGTTATTTTTAGAAGAAAGTGATCATTCCTGAAAAACTTGCTTCTCCGTATTTTCTCGTTTATGAGCTCCTCAGACGCCAGCCATGTCATTATCCAAGCCCTCCCATGACTATAAACTGACACAGGTTGCTATCACTCCCAAGGCAAAGAGCTGGCCTGAAGAGGAATCCCCGTGGAGTGCCTGGTAGACACTGCCTCCTTCTCTGCCCTCCGAGGTATTTTTGATCCAGTCCCTGCCATCTTTGCTTGCTAGAGATGGACACACTGACCTGGTGACCGCTGGGAATATTTTCTTCAAACTTTCCTATCCTCCCTTTACTATGTCGGGCAGTAGACAGGACCCAAAGCTCCATAAAGGCAGGGCCTGTCTTGCTCACCACTGATGGTCCAGAGACCAGGGCAGCCAGCACTTCCTGGCAGCCTGAGCTGGTGTCTTGGGCTTACTGAGCTACTTTGCGTGGTCAGTCTTCCTTACTGACAACCAGCTTATGTGTCTACCAAAGCAGACACATCTGCCCAGATCAGAACAAGACTTAAAGGTGTACCGCAGGGGCAGTGCTGTGGTGCAGTGGGTTAAAGCCCCAGCCTGCATTGCCAGCATCCCATATGGTAACCGGTTTGAGTCCTGGCTGCTCTGCTTCTGATCCAGCTCCCTGCTAATGGCCTGGGAACGCAGCAGAGGATAGCTCAAGTGCTTGGGTCTCTGCACCTGTGTGGAAGACCCGGCTGAAGCTCCCGACTCCTGGCTTAGGGTTGCCACAGTCCTGGCCTTGGTGGCCATCTGGGGAGTGAAACAGCAGATGGGAGACCCCTCTGTTTGTCTGTAACTCTTCCTTTCAAATAAGCAAACAAATCTTTAAGAGAGAGAGAGGGAGAGAGAGAGAGAGAGAAACAGATGTACTCTAATATTTTCAAATGGGAGAAAAAAAAGGTTACGGACTTGGGAAGTGGAGACATAAGGGAGTTCAGGTCCTCTTCCTACCCCCCGCCCCCGCCCCCAGGCCACGCCTTGAACCACACTCCACTTGCTGTTCTTCTAGGACTCTGAAAACGCTTAGACTTAAATTCGCTGGCTTTTTGCAAGGACTGTACTTTCGGGTTCATTAAGAAAAACTAAAAAACTAGTTTGTAAAAGTCTTTTATTGTATCCGTGCCACACATAGTAGTGAAAAATAACACTCCTAAAAAAAAGAATGCTACCTTTTCCACAACATTTTATTTTAAATAAAACTTCAAGTACTCTTACATAGAAATACAAAAAAAATTCTGATCTATTTGCCTCCAACAGGCCACCACAACACACAGGAGATAAAACACAGTGGTTACAAATGTCTTTTAAATTTATTTCTGAGGCAAGGCAAATGGGAGGGAAATGTTTCTATGAAAAAATACTGTGTGCGTAGGAAATTGTCACAATTTTATTCCACATGGATACAAATGATTATACTTTAATTTAGGCCCTGGTGGCTTAAAATTATATAACAAAATAGAAAAATGGAAAACTAATATCCCCTACACCCTGTTTCAAAGGCAGGCACTACCAAGATTAAGGAGACGCCACAGTGTTGGTAGAGGATAATTACTGTACAAGCTGTAGAGCTATAATTACCTTCAGGCTAAAATAAAACGCTACGGTCCTCCTAAGGCATAAACAATAATGTCTGCAAACAATATATACACATAATACATATTTAAAACAAGACTTAATATAAACAATAATGAACAGTATGTACATGTCAATTCTTTTCACTGTCTTGAAATACAATTTAACTACACAAGTGATGCAGCAACATATATATATAAATGTACTTGTAACTCTACAGTAAAGTTTATTTTTGGTGCTTTTAGAGCACATCCGTGTAAACAGTTTAACTTGGCTTTGTTTTATATTTTAAAACATTCCTTGTTGTATTTTCAAGATTTAAAGCAATTTTCTAGTTCTTCCTTTTCACAGAAAACGAAGATTCTGGATGTGGTTTAATCATAAATAATTCATAAAATTAAATACATTCACTAAAAAATAAACTACAAAGTAAAAAAATGAAAAATAGATATTTATTGAGAGGGAAAGGAGAACCATTTCCCGCATTAGAGCTCTGGTGTTGAATATTCAGTGCGATTTGATATATTTTTAAATTGCTATTGCACTATTCACACCCTTTACTTTGAAAATTCTTTGGGTGTGCTTCCCTGTTCTACCTAAATTAGCTGATAAATCACACAAACCAATAACCAAGGGCCTTGGCTGTTGTAGGAGTGAAGCCTTTAAAAATTTTTCTGATTTTTTTTGATACTTATTTTAAGGAAAACAAAGTCATTATGTATGTGCCTTGCACGTTTATGTAAATATAGTTCACATTGCTGGTCTCATTTGTCCTTGTTTAAAAGGAAAAAAAAAGATTATTTTAACTTCAGCTCACTTTGAAAGTATCTGTCCACTTTTTTTCAAAATACTTCCTCATACTGTGGCCAGCTCTGCCTATGTCAGAATCATCTTCATTGAAGGTTTCACAGTTGTCAAAAACAAGCCTGACATCTACGGCGAAGGTCTCCAGGTTGGGGTACCTGGAAGAAAACAGAAAAGCAGAGATGGGTCTCACACGGCCAAGAAGTAACAAAAGGCAAGATAAGAAGTCAGACTGAAAGGAGAAAAAGAGGGGGAAAACTGCACTTAACCTGACCTAAAGCATTTCATGTTTACTCAGGTTTTACTGAGGAGAAGAAATTCGCACACAATAAGATCCCCATGTTTAAGTGGGCAGTGTAGCAGCAGTTCATCCCCACAGCTGTATGGGCCCACCTCCTCTATGACGTGCAAAGCACTGTCAACGCCCTGAAAGGAAGCCTCGCACCCAGGAAGCAGTTAGCTCTCCCTCCCTCAGGCTCCTGGCTACCATCAGATAGGGACCTATCTATTCTGGATACTTCTTCTAAATGGAATCATATTTTATATGTGGAAATTATTTTTAAAAGATTTTCCCCCACCTGACAATAAACCTTTCCTCTTAAAAAATAAAATATATTTAACATTTTAAAAAATCATTTTATTTTGGAGTCAGAGCAAGTGAGCAAGTGAGAGAGTGTCTAAACTGGCATCTTAAATGCTGGGCTAAAAGCCTACCCCTTATTTTTGTGAAACATTTTGAAACTACATGGAAGAATATTTCTTTCTGCAGAATATTCCCCACTATTATAAAAGACTAATGAGTAACGTTTGGGAGACTGGGAATCGGGAGAGAGTTCCAGCTGAGATTCTGGGTAAAATAAGGACAAGACTCCTCTGTAGCCTTCCTTTTTATAGGAGGTTGGGGCAGCTATTGGAACTCAGAAAGATTCGTTAAAGCACATACTTTCTTCCCTCTTCTACAAAGTTTAAAAAATTGGAAATATCATTTGAGTTTTGGTTCCAACACAATAGTTTGAGTTTAATAAAATAATCCCAAATTAGAGAGGCGTTAACCCGCAGCTGGCATCACAAACAGGTTCATGTACACTGCCTCCCGCTCTTTGCCACCTCCACTCACTGGATTCGTTCTCAAAAGGGAGCTGTGCTTTGGAGGGATTTTTGCTTATTTAGTGATAATTTCAAAGTCTATTTGTGTTGGAGATTTTGATATTTAAGTTCATCTTCTATCCAGGAAGTAGAGAATCATGGAAATTGAGGCTGAGATTCATTTAAACACCAAGGAAGTCTTTGATTCCATTGTCCTACCCCTACTACACATTTATTTTGATAGAAAAAGAACTACTCTTCATCTAGACAGCTTCATTTGCTTGGTTCAAACAAGAACCAGTGGTTTTAGTGGTTCTAAATGCTTCAAGAATTGGGGCCTGTCCTTTTGGTAATTAAAGAAACAAAACAAAACAGGATGGACCTTTGGCACAGGAGTTAAGAAGCTGCTCTGGATGCCCACTTCCTGCATCAGAGTGCCTGGTTCAAGTTCTGCCTACTCTGCTTCCAATCAGCTTCCTGCTCAGGTCAGTCCTGAGAGGCAGCAGATGACAGCTCAAGTACTTGAGTCCCTGCCACCCATGTGGGAGACTCAGATTGGGTTTAAGGCCCCTGGCTTTGGCCTGGCCCATCTGGTTGTTCTTGCCATGGGGGGGAGTGAACTGGTGAATGGAAGACTTCTCCTTGCCTTTCAAATAAAATGAAAATAATCAAAAAAAAAAAAAAAAGAGAGAAGAAACACATAATCTTTTGGAAAGGCTGTTATTTCAGCCTTGAGAGTTGAATTAGTCATTTGACCAATCTAGTAAATCACCTGATACACACGAGAGACACTGACCATTTTGAGTTCTGCTCAATCCTTGTAAACTGGAAGTAAATCATGGAACACACTGATTTTCAGCAAAAAGAATGTCCAGGAAGAGCTAAGTTTAATGTATAATAATAATAATAATAATATAATTACAATATGAGTAGATTTTCAAAAAATTCACACAGAATGTGTATACATGAAAAAAATGTACGGATTTCAAAAATTTTTGCAACAAAATAAACGTACTTTTTAATTCTATTTTCCACAAACTTACTGAAGTACCTTGGTATATGTTGTATATTCTTTCAATGTAAACGAGTTCCTTATTCCCCCTCCCTCCTTTTTTTGATAAAATTGCCTGCAGTAATTGGCCCAGGCTACATTCAACTGAACTGCAGTACAGGAAGAAAGGAGGCAGGGGTGAATGGAAAAGGGAAGACAGCCGCGCAACTCCTGGGCATCTGCATGCACGTGGATGCCTTTGTGTGGGCCCATTCTGCAAGGGAACAGCCACGTTCTTGTGCATCCAGAGTGGGCCACTGCCCAGAACCAGCTAAATCATGCTAATAGCGGTCTTGCTTTGGCAGGAGCTTGAGGAGGTCTAACAAACACCATTAACTGTGGACAAGAAGTCATTTTACTTTTAGGATAGGATCACAAAAAAGTATGGTAGAGAAGACCAAATTGTAGTTTTCATCCACATTTGTAAATGGATTTTTCTTACTCTCCAACAACTCATAATAAAGCTTTAAACTATTAAAATTTCCAGTGATCTTCTATTTCTACATTACAGTAAGTTGAAAACACTGAGAGTCAAGTTTTGTTACAGCCACATGTACTGGTGTCAATATTCCATGGATGCCTGTACAAGATACAGGTTACAGGTTACTTACTGTGGGGAGGCACGGTTTTCTTACCACTTATCTGGGTTTGGTGCACTGCCAGTGTCAAAAGCAGATTGATCTTGCTGCTTTTTAATTTTCCTCATTTTTAACTGACTTGTCTCATACCAAATGCACACACACACACAGCACACTAAAGGAAGGGCCCTATGCCTTTGCTGTTAATTAAAATATCTTCAACTCATTAGAAAAGAACTCAACACATATCACACATTCAATAAATACTGAACTAAATTGACTGACTTACTGTCCACTACTTAGCTTCTCTCTGATCGTGGAAAAATCCATAGGCTTCTTAATAACTTTCTTATAACCAGGAACAAGTTTCAAGTTTACAGGAAGTAGAAAAGGCCAGGCATCCTCATGAGTTTCCATTTCAGTCAGGATCATACTGAAAAAAAGAATGTTTGAAATCCTGATCTATACTTTCAGCACTGGATATTTTTATTAAGAAAAGCAGTCCATTGTAATCTTCTAAGCAAAATATCAATGTAAATTATAATAGATAAAAGAATGCATTTCCTTAAACTTTATATTTTTAGTTACATTAATTGTCAGAAAATAACCTTCAGTATGATAAAAGGTTTCTAAACAAGAAAATGGGATACTATATACATATAGAACATGAAAACTGGAATACCTGCAAATAGCTAGGTCCTTGGAGTCATCTCTTTTAGGTTTCTTAACAGACGTAAAGCTGTCTTGTTTTGACAAGCTAACAGAAGTGTTTTCCTCTATTTTTCTTTTTTTGAGGTCTTTGCTCCCTCTTTTCAGCGAACTACTTGTGGAGGCAGAGTCTTCATCCTCAGTATCCCCCGTTAAAGCTACTTTCTTGCCTTTCTTTGAATCGTTGGTTTTTTTCCCTTTGACGTGAAGTTTTTTGATTTTTAGAGTTTGACCACTTGCCTTTAATTAAAAATATACATAAGTGAGGTGTAAGAGAATAACTGCTACAAACCTTCTGTTTTAAATTGTAAAGGTCTGACAGGACAAATACATAAAAAGAGATATTAACTCTAATCTAGAAGGTAGATAATTCTAGTATTTTCAAGAGAGGTCTGTGAATTTGCTCTCCCATAGTATAAGACTAACATCTATCCAGCACGGACAGTGTATTCCTGTAAATAATTCCGAGAGGTTGAAAAGGCTGATCTCATTGTAATCCATCTTTGGTACAACAGAATTTATCACCAAAATTTCTTTACTATAGATCAATGAGTTTAAAGACACAAAAGAGCACTGTTTTTTCTTCATTTATTTGAAGGAGAGAGAGATCGACATTAATTCACTGGTTCTCTCCTCAAATGCCCAGAATAGCAGGATTTGGCCAGGCCAAAGCTAGGAGCCAGGTCTTGGTCCTAGTCTCCCACACGGGTGGCAGAGACACAAGTACTTCAATCATCACTTGCTGCCTCCTAGGGTGTTCATTAGCAGGAAGCAGGAGTAGGATTAGGAAGCAAGTATTGAACCAAGACACTCCAATCTTGGACTTGGGCATCTGAACCGGCATTTTTAACTGTGAAGCCTAAAGGCCCCCCAGAACTCCTTTTTAGAGTACAATATTAAAAACAAAGGTGAACATAAACAAAAATACAGAGCTTATTAAGAAAGTCAAAGAGGTAATAACAAGCCAGGCTAAACATGGAGAAGAGTGTTTGAAGTGTCAAATATGTAGAGAAGTCCTTTTTAAGTGATACAATATACTAGAAATTGGGATTTAGTTTCTGGATAAAGAATAAAAACCACCTGCAATAAGAACAGAAAATTATAAGCTTGTAGCCGCCTGGTGTGAATAAAGCACTGGTGGTAAAAGATGTGGGAGAATGATGCCTGTGTTATTGAGGAAAACAAAATAAAAAGAAAAGCTGTGAAGAACAGTGTATTTGTCACTAAAGGATATGAACTCCAGCTATGGCTTTCTCACTAACTAGCTACAGACTTTCAGTAAAAGTGTCAGAGGCCCTGTCTTCTCATCTTTAAAATAAGAAAGATAAGCTACATATTTGCTGGGGTCATTCTAGCCCAAGAATTATGTGGCAAAAAAATCAAATGATGTCACATTGCTTATGTAATCGAACCACAAATTACACAAACATTGATGTCACAAAGAGGGTTCTCCATCCTCAGTTGAGAAATGGGGAAATAAGTCTATCTTTTGAGGGTAAATGCTCTAATAAACACACCATAAAAGAGACACATGTAAAGTCACTGGTAATATATGGTTTTATTTTTATTTTCCCAAACAGTGCATACCAAACTCCTTTAGAAAACTACTTTTCCTTTACTCAGACTATTAAATCCTAAACTGCCAGGCCATATAACCAGATCAGCCATAATTTAATGTGGGCTGTCTTCCTGCAATGAATTTGGCTGAAAACATTTCTTTGAAGTATTTCCAGCAATTTCTTTGAAGTTATCATGACCCCTGCTAGCAATATTATTAAAAAATGCTCCAAGTCAAGCAGTTTAATTATTTGGTTCTCTTAACTGTTAAAAGTACAGTTGAGCAGATAGTTTAATTGGCTATAATAAGAATAGCCATTAATTCAACACCTGACTCATTTCATATCAAAAAATTTTACCATGTCACTAAAGCAAAATAATTGAAATGTTTTACTAAGTCTTTTCTTCATTTACTTTAATTTTTATTCACTAAAATCTGGTTATTTTGGGTTTTCATATTACACTGACCTTTTAGCATTGTAAAATCATTAGAAAAGCGAAAACTTAATATAATAAAGACAAAGTTCTTTTAATGACTATAAAATCAGATTATTAGTTATGTTATTTGAAACGAACAACATTTCAACAACAGGCTCAAAGTTCTGTTCCTATTTGAAATAGAAATATTATTTGGGATTTTTTGAATGAATTTAACATTCACAGTAAGAAAATATACAACTGAAATCACAGAATCAAGACTTCTGTGATGTTTCAAAGCAAGATAATGAAGTTTCTGTTTCTTTAATAAATGATCTCCTTAGCTCACCTTAGTAGATGCTACTCATAAGCATATTGAAGGAACAATCTTTTACACCTGTATCATTTCCTTTTTGCTACAGTCCCAAATCAAAGAGGACTGTCAGTGGGTCTTAACCAGAACTTACCAGATTTATTTATAATAATTTACAGATTAGAAGCTGTGAATTGGTGCCTCACAGGCTGTAAACAGCCCTCGGAATGTGCTATTTGGCCCACGCAATGCTTATAAATATTCTGAATTTGTTTCCAACATTTACTATTTGGGAGAACAGATATAAAAATCTAGAATTCTAACTTTTCTTTTTTCTTAACTTTTACTTAGTAAATATAAATTTCCAAAGTACAGTTTATGGCTTACAATGGCATTTCCCCCCCATAACTTCCCTCCCACCTGCAACCCTCCCATCTACCGCTCCCTCTCCCATTCCATTCACATCAAGATTCATTTTCAATTATCTTTATATACAGAAGATCAATTTAGTATATAGTAGGTAAAGATTTCAAAAGTTTGCACCCACACAGAACATAAAGTATAAAATACTGTTTCAGTACTAGTTATAGCATTAATTAAAAAATTAAAAAATAAAACATCCTAGAACACTGGGTCCATATTCCTTCGTGACAACAAATGGCTGGAGTTGAGTGAGGACTACCACATCCAAATGGGGTATGCCTCTCCTGTTTGTGACATTGTCCACGAGGGTTCCAATGAGCTATAGCAAAGGGTCTGGCCTGCAATACATGTTGATCCTCTTACACTTCTTACTCCTTGTATTTTTAACTCCCCAAACCATTTCTACTTTACCCATTACTTCTCTCAATTGGTATGAAGAGTTCAGTTTTCTCTTTGAAATATGACCAGAAAATGGCTTAAATATAGATGCTTAATACAATACGACCTAGGAATTACACTGCTAGGTATAGACTCAGGAGAACTGAAAACATACATTCAAATAAAAACTTGGGCATGAACCCTCTCAGCAGCATTATTCATGGCAGCCAGAAGTTAGGGACAAGTCAGACAAACGTCTAGTGAACTGATGAAGGGATAAACAAAATGTGGCAAGTCCATACAAAAGAATATAAAATGGAACAGATACCTCCATACAATGGAATATACAAGACTAGCCCACAGAGTAGAAAGCAGGTTAATGGTTGCCAAAGGCTGGGGAGAGAAGGCTTATGGGGGGTAACTGCTAATGTAAGGGGTTTTTTAGGGAATCAGGAAGTTGTACAACTTCGTGAGTACATAAAAAGACCCACTTAATTGTTTAAAAGGTGAATTTTATAGTACACTAATTATATCTGAAAAAACTAATTATATCTGAAAAAATTCTACATTTTGAGCTCCTAATTAAAAAGTCCAATTTTAGAGGCATCTTACCTTAGCAATGCAAGCAGGACAGAACCAGTCTCCATCTGGTATGGTTGTAATCTTGGGTCTGTGGCAGTAGGTATGACAGCCTTTGTCACAGCCGTCACAAAGGAGAAGTAGTTCTTCATTATCTCCCTTCCGACAGATTTGGCAGTACTATAATACATAAAAGATCATTTAAGATTATCCTTCTGCTATGAATAATAGTTACTGGGATGTTAAACATACCACAATTCCTAAATTATATTAGTAATGAACATTCCGCTTGCTAACAAATACACAGTAGCCATACACATCTATGTATCTCTCATTACACAGATACGGACCACATGACGGGGTGAGCAGTTCTATTGGGGTAAATGCACATTTCAGGTACACTGCAAAGAACAAAGCTGGAGGTCGAATGCCTGCACACACCTCAGAAGCATGTACACATTAACATATGAAATCATTAACATGACATTAGAGCACATACAGCAATGAAGAGCTTTAATACATGGTGATTTTTAAAAATGCATTTCATCTTTAGCTTATCTTAGTATCCTCATGATATCCTGAGAAAGAAATAAGAGTCAGAGTAACCTTTAAGATCAAAATTAGGAAACTTGTGTTAGTGTCATAATTACATGTAATACAAAGATATCCCTGGATTTTGATTTAATTTTCCACCTATGTTTCATGATTGAAAAATGTGTCCAAACCAGGAAGCTTTGAAAATCAAACATGTCTGATAAGTGTAGATAACAGATACTACAAAGTTATTTCTAAGGGAAAAAGCCAGATTTAATAAATTAAAGAATATTAAGAGGTTATGATAAAGAGATTATGATTTATTATCTAAAGTGAACAATAATTTTGCCTCTATTGAAAAATTTCCAATACCATTGCAAACTTTAAATCTGCAAAGAGAATATATCTTTCCATGCACACATATTCTTATTCTATATAGCAAGTTTCAAAAAATGAAAGAAATGTTAGGTAAGTAAAAACTTTCAAGATAGCCTTTAAAAATGGTAAACACTAACATTATTTTTTGACAGTTCATATTCCATTCACAGTATAAAATGTAAATGGCAATCAATATTTTACAAAAATCAAAACATTTAAGCTGAAAATAACTCACAGGAATTTAAAATTAAGTATTTATGTACTCTTAAAAACAATATAGGCTCAAATGTTCAAACTTTAAGTTTTTAAAACAACATCGTATCAGTCTGGAAAAGTATAAAATAGTCATAACTCAATATGGCTACACCAACGACAGTTTAAGAATTTTATCAAAATGACAGGCAAACTATTCAAGTTAATTAATATTTATCAAATATATCCATAATACCAAAATTGTCATGAATATTAAGAGCAAAAGCAGATTATAACATTCCAACAATAAATATCTACTTTATGACCTGTGCTAATAGCACATCCTGAAATCCTTTAAAACAGTATAAAGTTGTTTCTCCAAATGTGAGTTACATCTATAGAACTTCTAGTGTAAAGATATTCATTGAGAGATAACATTTTGAAGGTTATATTTAAATCTTTGCAACAATAAAACTTAAAAATCAGATTCATGAACGTAAGTAAATTCTTGTTTTCTTCAAAAGATCACTAAAAATACAGCAAAAACTGTCTTACATCTGACATTTACAACTTAAAAATAAAAATATTTTCTGGTACTTTTAAAGAGAGGGTGACAGATATCAAACTCATAACACTTCTGAAAAATATTACAAAGTAGCTCACAATATGTTACAGCAAGTGTATTAATAGTTTGTTTTAATCCCTTTGCTACTATAAAAATAGTGGATGTTGTCTATTGTTTAACATTTACAACAATATAAAGCATACTGTGGGCAGAGAATTATGCAGAGGCAACTATGACAGCCCCTTCTTTTCTGGTTAACTTGGTGTCTGGCCAATAGGCTACTTCTCAAGGCACTGAACACTTTCATATTTTGTTTGGACTAATTACACAGATCATTATAGGCACTGTTTGATCACTAACTGAAGGTTAAAAATAGTCATTAATCTTGTATATGAAACTCTGCCTTCTTTTCAAGGCAGTTTCATAGCAAATTATGTATTATTAGTTTTTAAAATGAAGATTGTGAGTTAAATGATGACAAATGTATATTAGGAAAGGTTAAAGAATTTGCAAAAATGAAATACAACTTTAGTAAGTATAATAACATAAAAGAAAGTTTTGTACAATTTTTGGATTTCTTGGTTACTGTAGGTTTATAACAAAACTGATCAGATCATGGAGTAGATAAGAAAAAATGTGCACAGTTATTTTTTAATAGGAACTTAATTTTTTTACTGTTATAACTTTAATTTCACCTAATATATCTGTCCAAGGTGACTTAAAACTGGTTTTAGTAATTTTTAGAAAAAAAAACCCCTATTTTTACCAGGTAAAAATGCTACTGGATGAACTGAACAATACCTTGAACTTACAGTAAATTCTAATTTGATTTGAGAGAGTGAGCTAAATTCAAGCATACTGTAAAAATTTCAGATTCATTATTTCATAGACATTTTGGGAAGAAGAGAAAAACAACAGAAGAAATCAAATTTAGTGAGTAATGAGAATGAGTAAGGCCTTCAGTAGTATAAGCATGGAAGTAAAAATGATGAAAATAATGCTGAATTGTTTCAGGGTCACTCACTTCTTTTCTTAAGGGAATGAGTATTTTAAGTAAAGGAATTTAACCCTTAGCCACTTATGAAAACAAACCTCAAATAGGTGAATTTTACATTTAGTTTGTAATTCAAAAGTAAATGTTCAAGTGATTCATAAAAGTCTGCATCTAAAACTGAACTGGGTGCTTAGCCTAGCAGTGAAGATGCGGGCATCACACACTGGTATACTTCAGTTCCCAGTTCCGGCTCCTGCCTGCAGTTTCCTGCAATGCAGACTCTAGGAGGTAGCAGTGGTGACCCAAGTAACCAAGTTTCTGCCACCCACGTGGGAGGCCTACATTGAGCTTCCAGCTCCTAGCCCTAGTCCTGACCCAGCCCTGGCTATTGCAGGCATCTGAGGAGTGAACCAGCAGATGGGAGCATTCTCTTTCTCTCTTCAAAATTTTTATAAGATTATATACGTTTAAAAGATGCTCCTATATGTGACACATACAAGAAGCAAGAAAGACTCTTGCATATGATTTAAAATAAATATCTCTGTGGAAAGATATGCACTGTAGGTCTTATTTTGAACATATAGGATTTTGGCACCTGGTGAAAGTAGAGGGTTCACTACATGATAATAACTAATTGGGACTGGACAAGGATGGCAAAAAAGTTAATTATTACAGGAAGACTAAAAGATCTGTTCTTCATGTCAACCACATCTCATATCACACACATTATAAACCGCACACAAATTCTCTTCTTATTTTGTACTTATCTAAGTGTCTCTCAGTAGTAAAAAAAAAAAAAAAAATGAAACCTGATAGAAAAATACAGACATTTTAGGAATGCAGTAACAAATAAGATAATGTTAGCAATGTTGCAATGTTTACAAGAAGAAAAAGGCTTTCAAAATATTTAATTAATAACTATTATACTGACAAAAATAAAGGAGACAATTTCAATTAAAGATACAAACAATATTCAAAGGAGTCAGAAATGAGATTTAAAAACAAATAAAAGATGACACATTTGGTAGTTTCCTTCAAAAAGCTCAAATAAGGAAGAAGTATCATACTATACAGCATTTAAGAAGTAAAATATCTCAAGTGAGGCATATACAATTGTAACAATAAATAATGTGTAATTACAAGATCTGAGGTTTGGAAAAAAGCAAGACAAAGGAAATTAGTTATAGTATTTCTTAAATAAAAACACTTACAACTTTCATAATTGATTTTTCCCATGCTATTGATTTCTGTAACTGCTGAATGCACAGAGCTACCTGTGCAGCACTGCGAGCTTCTGACAATGCCCTTCTCCATACCCTGAGCCCTGGAGCAATATCCTCTTCAATTCTGCATTGAAATATAGAAAAATTATGTAGGTCATGTCCACGTTTACGGTTACTGAATGTGAAACAATCATCACACTGAAAGCCAAGCAATGACAAAAACATGTAACAGCCAATAAGTATAAGGTTTAAGCAACTAAATCTGATGTAGTGCACAGACTGTGGCTACGTGCCTCAGAGCTTAGTCACAACCAGGTAAATGTAAGAGCATTTTGCAGGATTATCAATGCACATAACAAAAAAAAATGTTTTTACAAAGCATCATGCAAATAGCATGATCCATATGGATCACAGACATACAAGAAGATACATAGATAACAGGCAATAGAAAATAGGCTCCAATTAGCAAAGAAGCACAATAATTTTTCAAGTTAATCTCAATAACCTACCCGTCACCATCACCACTAATGGATGGTGCAGGAGCAGGGACAGTAACTGTGCCCACATTATCCAGTTTGATCTGAATGGTGGTACTTAAGGGGCTCTTCAGATACCTTCTTTCAATGTTCCGCTCCAAATCAGCCAGTCTGGTTACAGCTATATCTAGGGGGTTGTCACTCTTCCGGTCTAGTGCATGTGCACTGCTTTCTTCTTCGTCAGTAAATTCTCCATCATGTTCCTTGCACAATTTAGTAAATGACTTATGTTCAAAATATACCAAGTCCTCCCTTTCTGATGCAGGCTCTGGACACATCCAACCCTATATATTAAGAGAATAGCATTATTATGGTTTCTTCTTAGAATGCCAGATGGGTGCATTTACCTTTACTTAAATACACCAGCAGGTACCGGGAAATCTCAAGGATCTTTACTAAAAGTTTTTACCGTGTGTTTTCCTAAGGCTTGGTAGAAACAAGAACAAAAAGTTACAAGAAACAGTTGTAGGAAGTTTGAAAAAACAAAATTTATCAACTTTTGATATTAAAAAAGGTTTAATAAAACTCAGCAAAGTATTCTGAAGGATTTTAGACCAAAATGCTTATTAATTTCATGGAGTGACTTAAAAGGAAATGTCTCAGTAGCCTATGAACTTTGGTCTTTCTGGTTTTGTTCCTTTAAGCACTCTTCTGCAAACATCCTTGTACTCACCATTGTCTCTCGAGCTGCAGGAGCTCTATGTAAGCTCTTACATCTGCACAGTCTTTCTCTGCTCTTCACCTAGGTACTCCATTCATCCTGCACATCCACATTCACTTTAACATGGAAGGATTCCCCCAGGAGAATCCTTCTTTGACTTCTTTCAGGAGGTAAATCCCCCTATTACAGACTCTCACAGCACCAGAGAGTGCTTCATAGCTTTGTCACGGTCACAATTTTATACTAAGTGGGATCATTACTTCCAAAAGAGCAGGGGCAATGTCTGCTTTTACTCACTTATCTCCAGCACAATGAAAGCAAATAATGGACACTCAATACATATATTGTTGAAAGAGTAATGAATGTTGAAAGAGTAAATGAATGATCTTATAACTCAGCTTGTTTATAATGCTCTTTTAACTCAAAAGCCTTCAAAGATCCTCCACTGGTTAACAAAGTGCCAGATATCTATCATGGCCTAACTACCTCGATCTATCTCTCTTTTCATGTTCCTGCGCATGCACCTATGCTGCAGTCTGTTCCATAACTTGGTACTCCACAAACTTGTCAAACACTTCCTAATCCTGGTGCTCCGCTCATGCTGTTCCCATTTCCTACTAAGGCATTCTCTGGTCTCTGACTGTTAAATGAAGTAATAATTGAAAATTTCCCATGAAAGAGACATGGATGTCCAGATACAAGAAGCTCAAAGAATCTCAAGCAGACACAACTGAAAAAGATCTTCTCCAAGGGATATTGTAGTTAAATTGTCAAAAGTTAAAGATAAGGAGAAAATCCTAAAGACAGCAATAGAAAAGTGTCAAGTTACATACAAAGGAAAATCAATCAGATTAATATCAGACTTCTTTGTGGAAGAAAGTTGGATGAAATAACCCAAGGTCTTAAAAAAAAACTTCCTACCAATAATATTATGCCAAGTGAAGCTATCCTTAAAAAGTGAGGAAGAAATAAAGTATTTTTTACTTTTTAAAGATTTATTTTATTTATTTGAGAAGCAGAGTTACAGATGGAGAGAAAGGAGAAAGAGAGAGAGGTCTTCCATCCACTGGTTTACTTCCCAAATGGCCACAATGGCTGAGCTGGGACGATCTGAAGCCAGGAGCCAGAAGCTTCTTCTGGGCCTCCCTGGTGGGTGCAGGGGCCCAAGAACTTGGGCCATCTTCCACTGCTTTCCCAGGCCATTAACAGGGAGCTGGATTGGAAGTGAAGCAGCTGAGACTTGAACTGGCACCCATATGGGATGCTGGTGCCACAGGTGGAAGCTTAACCTATCACCACCACTACTACTACTACTACTATTTTATAGATAAGCAAACACTGAGAGAATTCACCACACCAGACCAGTTTTACAAGAAATTCCAAAGGGAGTCCAGCATTAGAAATAAACATCATGAAAACATTTGACACCACCAAATTCACTAACAGAGCAGGTAGAATCATTATCCAATCAGCAAAATGACAGGACTTAGCGCTTATCTATCAATACTAACCTTGATTGTAAATGATTTAAATTCTCCAAGCAAAAGACATAGGTTGGGTGAATGGATAAAAGACCACTATATGCTGCCTACAAGAAACTCATTTCACAAAGATATACACAGACTGAAACTGAAGGGCTGGAAAAAGATATCAGGCAAATGGAAACCAAAAATGAACAGCAGTAGCTGTCCTAATATCAGATAAAACAGATTTTAAATAAAAAAACTGTAAAAAGAGAAAAAGAAGGACATTATATTTTGATAAGAGGTCCAATTCAGCAAAAAGACCTAACAATCATAAATATATATGCACCAACACAAGACTACCCAGATATATACAGCAAATACTATTAGACCTAAAGGGAGTGATAGACTCAAATACAATAACAGTGAGTGACTTCAACACCCCACTCTCATCAATGGACAGATCATTCAGACAGAAAATCAATAAATAAACACTGAGGCTGAAACATACTATTGAGCAAATAGATCTAACAGACATTTATAGGACATTTCACCCAATAGCTAAGAATATACATTCTTCTCCTCAACACATAAACATTTTCTAGGATAGACCACATATTAGTCCACAAATCAAGTCTCAGCAAATTTAAAAAGACTGAAATCATACCATGTATCTTCTCATATCATAAAGGAACCAAATTAGAAATCAACAACAAGAACAATAAAATACTCATGAAACCTTGGAAATTAAACAACATGCTACTGAATGATCTTTGGTCCTGAAGAAATTAAAAAAAGAAACCAAAAACTTTCTTGAAGCAAATGGAAATGAAAACACAATGTATCAAAATCTGTGAGATATAGCAAAAGCAGTATGAAAAGGGAAGTCTGTAGGACTGAGTGCTTACATTAAAAGAAAGATAAATATCTGAAATTAAATATCTAATAATGTATCTCAAAGATTCAGAAAAACAAGAACAAACCAAACACCAGATCAACAGAAGGAGAGTAACAATAAGGATTAGAACAGAAATAAATGAAATTAAAACTAAAAAAAAATCAACAGAACAAAAGTTGTTTTTTTTGAGAAGATAAACAAAATATATAAACTTCTAGCCAGACTAACAAAGAAAAAGAGAAAAAACTCAAATAAATAAATTTAGAGATGAAAAAGGAGACATTATAATTGACATCACTGAAATACAAAGGATCATAAGAAAGTACTGTGAAGAACTGTATGTTAGGGCCAGTGCTGTGGTGTAGCAGGTGAGGCCACTGCCTGCAGTGCCGGCATCCCATATGGGCGCCAGTCAGGATCCGGCCGCTTCACTTCTGATCCAGCTCTCTGCTATGGCCTGGGAGGCCAGTGGAGGATGGTCCAGGTCGTTGGGCCCCTGCGCAGTGGCTTTTCTGCTGAATTCTACAAAAATTCAAAGAGGAAGTAACTCTGATTCTCTTCAAACTATTCTAAAATATTGAACAGGATGGAACTCCTCCAAACTCTTTTTATGAGGTCAGCATCACAAAACCAAAGACATGACATGAAAACTAGAGACCTTTATCCTTAGTGAACACATATGCAAAAATTCTCAACAAAATATTGTATCCAAAACTATATAAAAAAGATCATGCATCACAATCAAGTGGGATTTATCCCACAAATGCAAGGGTGGTTCAACCTTCACAAATCAATAAATGTCATAAACCACATCAAAGGACAGAGAACAAAAACCATATAGCCAACTCAATAAATGCTGAGAAAGCATTTCGTAAGATTCAAGACCCTTTCATGATAAAAACTCACCATTAGGTATAGAATGAACATTCTATTAGGTATAAAATGAACATTCCACAAAATTATAAAGGCCATGTTCAACAAACCAACAGCCAGTATCATACTGAATGGGGAAAGGCTGAAAGAATTTTCCCTCAGATCTGGAATAGGACTAGAATGTCCACTTTCACCTCTCTTATTAAATATAGAACTGGAAGTTTTAGCAAGAGCAATAGGATGTGAAATAAATAAAGGACATCAAAACTGGAAAAAAGTAAGTCAAATTACCCCTGTTTCCATATGACATGATGTTTGCACATGCTGTTAGAACTGATAAGCCAATTCAGTAAAGTTGTGGGTTACAAAATAAACACACACAAAAAAACACCTTTTTTATATGCTAAGGATAAACTCATTGAGAGAGAAATAAAGAATGGAATTCCATACACAGTAGTCACACCAAAAAAAAATCAAATATTTAGGAATAAATTTAGCCAAATAAGTGAAAGATGTTTACAATGAAAAATACCAAACATTGATGAAATAAATCAAGGACACAAAAAATGTAGATATCCCCTTCTCATGGATTGGAAGAATCAATATCATTAAAATGTCTATACCACTTAAGCAATCTACAGATTTAATAACGTAATCCCTATCAAAATACCAATGGCATTCTTGACAGAAATAGAAAAAAAAATCCCAAAACTGACATGGAATCACAAAAGATCCAGAATAGCCAAAGTGATCTTGGTCAAGAAAAATCAAGGTAGAGGCATTACAATAGCTGACTTCAAAGCATTACAAAGCTATAGTAATCAAAACAGCTTGGTACTGGCAAAAATCTGACACTTAGATCAATGGAACAGAACAAAGATTTCAGAAATTAATCCACGAACATACAGCAAAATGATTTTTAAAATCATTTTGGGGGCTGGCATTGTAGCGCAGTGGGTTAAAGCCCTGGCCTAAAGCATTGGCATCCCATATGGGCACCGTTTCTAGTCCCGGCTGCTCCTCTTCCAATCCAGCTCTCTGCTGTGGCCTGGGAAAGCAGTAGATGGCCCAAGTTGGAGACCCTGAAGAAGCTCCTGGTTCCTGGCTTAGGATTGGCTCAGCTCCAGCTGTTGCGGCCATCTGGGGAGTGAACTAGCGGATGGAAGACCTCTCTCTCTGTCTCTATCTCTCTCTGTTAACTCTTTCAAATAAATAATATAAATATTAAAAAAAAGAATTGTGCTTTCTAAAAAAAAAAAACTTATTTATTTATTTGAAAGGCAGAGTTACAGAGGGAGAGGCAAAGAGAGAGAGAGAGATTGAGATTCCATCCATTGGTTCACTTCCCAAATGGCTGCAATGGCCATGCTGGGCCAGGTCGAAGTCAGG